TAGTATAATAAAAAAAAAACCACGATTAATAAATATATTTGCCAAGCCCCAAAACATATATTATATCAAGTTTTATCATCTATCATTAATTTAAAAATTACCCGCGTGTAGGGGCTATTTAATATAATTATATATTGAACGATAAGATATGTATATACTTGCAATCTTGTTTGAAAAGAAAAATAAAAGAAAAAAAAATAACAGTATACAAATTAAGATCGATAGGTGAGAAAATCGAAAATTTTGCAAAGAAAGTTAATTGCTTACGAAATTACATTTCATTTCGATAATAGATAGTCGAAGTTCGTTGAGACATATAACAATTAAAACGATGTATATAATTATACTGCAATTTATTCGGTTAATTTTATTTTCAATTTAAAAATCAACCGTATTATATATAAATTAATTACTAAACAGTCTTCTTATGGGTCTTTGGGATATCGTTTCTAATTCGGTCTGTTGCCCATCGGAATTTGTACTTTTTTAATTTATAGACAGATCATAAGTAAAGTATATATTTATATACAAGAACTTATTACTTACTTTCTCTAGTCTTCAAACTATCCTTTCGATCGTTTATATCACAAGTCTCCCGTGATTTCTCGTGTACGAATAAAAGGACCAACTATAATATAACTAATGCAATTTATTCTAATTGTAAGAAAAAATCATTTCGAAAACATTTAACGCGACGTCTAAACTAATAATTAACTTCTCAACATTTCGATATTAACGGTTATTAATATTGTCGTTACCAACAACAACAACAACAACAAAATAAACGATAAATTTACTTTCATGAAATCATTATTTTTGTCATTAATTAATAACGATACGAATAGATGATAGCTTTCCTGTTATTTTTATGTTTATAATATTACTCTTTTCTTTTTCTTTTTTTTTTTTTTTAAATCTCGAAAAAACGACGATCGAAAGGATCCTTACGAGGAATAAATATAATATACACGTACGTACTAACGTATGTGTGTAAGTGTATACTCATTCGTGATCGCTTTCGTGCGATTAGAAAGCACGGAGAAACCTCTCTTTCGATCCTTAAAATAACAATAATGATTACACTTTGAAACGTTACAAAAGTATTTCATTCGTTTTCGTCGTTGGTAGGATATCAGAATAAAGAAAGAAGTTGTAATTTAAATCGATAATGTGTAGAAGAAAAAAAAAGTCATTGACGAAGTATCTTAGAGTGCAAGGACCTCACCAGTCTTCTATATGTATATTTATATGTATATGTATACCTCTATATATACTGTTATAACGGTATCAAGCATCTCCCACTTTATTTTTCACACGACGCCTCTGGTTATAAGGCGCCTTCGTGATTTACTGTTTACCAAGCGGTTGCTGCTCCCTTTTGTAAAAATAGAATTTTATTCTTGATAAGGTAAAAACCGTCCTACGCTTTCTTCGTGCCTTTGAAACGTGTTTAAAAAGTAAAAGAGAGAGAGAGAGAGAGGGAGAGAGAGAGAGAGAGAGAGAGAGAGAGAGAGAGAGAGAAAGAGGAAGAAAGAAATAAAAAAAAAAACATAAAAAGGAAAGAAAAGAACGTGTTAAGACTTTCAAACTAAGAATTTTCTGTATTCGATTATCATTCGAAATAACTCTTTCTCCTATTTTACGATTCCTCGTGTTCCTCGACCAAGGATTACAATGCTTTCAAATCATAGGAATTTAACATTAACCCTTTCGCTTCTAAGAACGTATACATATATATATTCGACGTGATCCAATAACAATCGTTTGCGTAAAAAGATTAAAGTCAAGTATTCGATAATATTGTATATGCTTTAATTATTATACATTTATGGACAAAATTACTTGATTATATGTATTATTTGTAATAATTTTCAAATTAAATGTAATAAAATTTTGTGCTTACAAAATTAGGAAACGAAAATACTCGATTGTGTATATCGTACGCATTTTCTTTTTGTGTGGCTCGTATTAATATTTTATTACCACGCATGTGATAAAAGATTTATTTAAGTGTATTTTTATTTTATTAACTTTTTTTTTGTTGCTTTTGTAGAAATGATTTTTTTTCTATACTATATATCTTAAACAATAGGGAACATAAAAGTATTGATACGGAATTCGAATTTTTTGTGTAACATTTTTTTCAAAGATTATAATTCAAAGTTAGGTGATAAGCTAAGTTGAGGTATCAATGAGCACATGTAAAACAATAATAGCACAAGACCGTGTAAATTTGCACAACGTCAGGGACTCGGAATAATCCTCCGTTTGTTGGTTAAGCCGAGTTTAAGCTTTCTCTACAACGTTGAAACAGGCATAATAAAGTTATCACGTATGACTACGAGACGATTGACAAGATTTTACGATGAAATAATCCTGGCGTTCGATTTTCTCTTCTAATTCTCAAAAATAATATACTAATCTCGAAAGAAAATATTTCTAATCTTCTTTTTCTATTTTTTCTTTTTTTCTTTTAATTGACGTATCCTGAAAAATATAATAATATACAAGAGAAATCACGTAATTAAATAAATCAATAATTTTATAATGGACGAGAGAAATTTAATTTTTCTGCATCTGTTACAAAAATTTGAATACGTATTCCCATTTAAATTTTCTGTTAAAAGTATATAAAGTGGAAAAAAAAAAAAAAAGAAAAAGATAAATAATTCAAAGCACTTGAAATGAATGAAAGCTATTTGCTCGAGAACATTTTAAGACGAATATGTGGAAAGATCGTGGAAGCATTGAAAGAAATATATTGTACACTTGAATTCGATATCAATATATGAAATGGACCACTCACTATTCAGATCAAATACATATATATGAGAGAGAGATAGTGACTCGATGAGAAAAATGTCTTCAAGATTAAGATAGCAAAGGGACAAGAAGAGACGATTCGTTTACTCTGTACATATATCACACATACATATAATACGAACATAAATATATACATGCATATATAAAAATACAAATAGACAAATATGTGCATATATACAAAAAAAAAAAAAAAAAAAAAATATATGATAAAAAGAGATATAAACATACACACGTACATACACATATAAATTACATAAATACGTATATATATAACATAAATTCATACATAAACTCGTTTTGTTCCAAGCGAGCGCTTAGGTCAAGGACTTTAAAAAGATCGGTGGTAAATATATAATATAAATCGAAAAATATTCGCAATTCGTTCGCTTACTTTCTCTCTGCTTGACGACCGTATTATTTATTCGTATTCGTAATATGCGAAGAATGCCTGGCACGCGTTCATTGAACGGAATAAAAAGATCGATGGACGAGCTCATATCGAAACGGTGTAAGTGAGTGAATATGTGTGTATGTGTGTGTGTGTGTATGAGTCGTTAAACCACTCGTCGAATTGAACTGTCATCCCCTTTTATGCAAAACCTTCCGGTTCTCGATCCAGGAGAGATTAGAAAGCCTCTTATACGGAAGTGCCTCGTGACACGATTTAAACAGAGAAAAAAAAAAAAAAGAAAAATAATACGAGTACAAAACGCGTTACGTACGATCGATCGATCTTCTTCTTCATCATCATCATCATCTTCTTCTTCTTCTTCATCTTCGTTTCGAAACCAAGCAAAAGAAGATGGAGAAACACCGTCACGCTCGAACACGTTGAATGATTGTGCTTTTAACATTATTTTACTATCTAACCTATCTAACTATCTACCAACGAACCAGGCAAAATGATTGAATAATATAAAACGAATTCGTCGTTATTTTTATAATACATATTTTTACATTTACTAATATGTGTTAATTTTGTTAAAATATTACGTGTTTTTTCTTTTTTCTTCTTTTTTTTTCTTTTTCTAAAATAATCCTATCGTCAACGATATTTCGTTTATTCCCGACTAAAATTGAACGCAAACTAAAAATAAATATGAACTATGACTATGACTAGTGTAATAGAAATAGGATAGTATATGTGTAATACGTTTAAATGAAACGAATTATTCCTTCCACAAAAAAAAAATAAAAAATGCAAGGAGGAAAAAAACTTTTTATTTCGCTCTCTCTCTCTCTCTCTCTCTCTCTCTTTCACTCACTTAATTTTTTTTATCAAGTTCGATATGTCACGTTTCGATATTTAAAATTTTACGATATTGTGTGACAAAATTCCCATACCTATCTTATCCAGGACATGAATTAAACACATCCCGTCATTTCGTAATACGCGAGATAATTGAAAACGTTCCAAAAAAAAAAATGAATATCTCTCTCTCTCTCTCTCTCTGTAATGCGTCAAAAGAAAAAGGTAAACGCGGTGAAATATTATGATGTTCATTGAAATTCAAAATGCGACGATGCGTTACTCAAGACCGAAACTTCTTTGAGTTACAACGAAGACCTACTTATCGAATAAATAAGGTACGACTTCATTTTTATTTATTTTCGTTTGCGAAATTCTTAATCGGACAGCAAACGCATCATTTCTTTACAGCGATAAAAAGATACGTAAATATATTTATATATAGATACGTATAAGAATTAAATATTTTATTCTAACTCAACACAATTGCGATACTATCGCAAAATATGCGTAATTATCTTTCGCGTGTATATATGTGTATATATATATATATATATATATATATATATATGTATGTACGTATATATGTTTATACTCATAAAAAAAGGTACAACAAAATTTTCGGCGAAGTGTAAATAAAAGTTGTGTATTATTTTTCTTCCTTTCTCTTTTTGTTTAATTTAAAACTATCTCGTATAGAGACATATTTAAAATTGATTTTAAAAATTGAAAAAATTTGGATCGTAAATGGGGGGTTTAAAAGAACAAAAACAAAAAAGAAAGAAAATAGAACCCATATGAAGAAAAATGTCATCCAGCATCCAATTTGGTTTAGATTCGTCAAGAAGAAGACACGAAGAAAGAGCGAGTATCTCGTATCGATCGGAAAGTCTGTTTCTAATAATGGGAGCGACCAGAGAAGACTTACGAGAAAATATTCGTGATTCTTGTGACATTGGCGTGGCAGCCAAGCGGATAAATACACCAGTAGTAACGATAGCCGCCGAAGTTACGTCCTCGTTATTGGATCTTGAAAAAAGATTCTTAAACAACAGCACACACACGTTAATATGTTACAAAGAGAGAGGGAGAGAGAGAAAGAGACAAACGAAAGTAAAGTAACACAAATAAACTTACATTTTTGATCCGCGACACGGGCCACGGACCACGACTGAAACATATCACAAGCTTTCATCGCTACTAACCTCTTGCAGCGCTACCAATCGGAAGAAGTAAGAACTAACAAAAACAAATCGATGATCAGCAAATAACGAATGTTCTAACCGATCGCATCACTTTTTTAAAATCATTTTAATAAATAAAAGTGATCGAGACAAATTTTTAATACACCAACCTATCCGTGCAATTGTTTCCACATTTTTTATTTTAATTCGTTACTCGATAAAAATTTTCCTACAATAGGTTAGAGGAGAGGTTGGGGGGGGGGGAGATAAGATTTTTGAAGATAGTATAAGAAATTAAAAACAAGAAGAAATTGATCTAGATACTTATGATTTCATTTACCACTATATTTATTTTTCTATTTATTTATTTATTCATTTTTTTTACGTGTGTAAATATATATTAATATATATAATATATTAATTAATTTAAAGCCTGTCGGCTCTGGATACTGCATTATTTCCATAAATATTAAACATTTTTTTTTAAACTGATCAAGTTTAATATGTACCATAAATACCACCAAATATACACCACAGTGTCCAGATAATTATATTTTATCAATCTATCTCAACATCAATTATTGCCCCAACCTCTCCTATAAATTTAATTATAAAAAATAAGAAAAAATATTATAATAATTTAAAACTTTGTTAACATTAACATAAACAAATTGAAAAAAGAAAAAAAACGAAATCATCATAAGATTATCTTTATCTATATGCTCAATAAATATTAATTCAAAACAACTTTGTCTCTTATTATTATTAAAATCTTTAGAAATTTAACAATTAGTTGGAGCTTTATTTGTATTCTCTTTCAATGTCTGGAGTAATCTAGTATAAACTAAACTTGGTGCATGAATAGCAAAGAGAAAATCAAAATGATTAAATTTCTTAAATGGTATCTTATAAAGATCCACGAGATATTTTAATTCCTTCGATAAACGAAGAACATCCTGAAAAATAAAACAGAATAAACAATAAAAAAAAGCAATAATTCGATTTTTTTTTAAACGTTTGAATACGTATTACCTACCGTAACATCCGAAAAATTATCGTTTTCAGCATAATATAATGCTATAGGTACACAAATTTTCGACGTGTCATAATCAGGAGGGGTTACACTATTATAAACTTTTAGATTTTTTATCGGTCCGTAATCATAGTGTCGAAACTTACCAGATGATATCATTTGTTTATAATGATTTATTGTCTTATAAGACGTACTATCAGGAGTATGACCCATAATGACAGGTAGTAACGTCTAAAACAATGTAACAGTTTAACATATGTCTCTACATTAGTTTAACAAGATAAATACTGTTACAACTTACATTATTATTTTCAGCTTTATCGAATCCAACAATGATACTTAGTACCGTAAAGCATATTTCTTGTTGAATGAAACCACTATCGCAAAAGTATCTAACGAAAGTCAAGATTACATCGTTTAGTGGAACAAATTCATTTTCACCAAATTCATGAAAATACCACTAGAAACACATTTAATTTTTTTTAAATATATACACATTTCGATTTATTTCAAATAAAGATAAAAGTTAATACTAGATACCATTAAATTAGTTGTAACAGGAGCTAAAATATCTATAGGACTGTTTAAATGGCCCATGTAAGCAACTGGAGCAAAACTAAACATCATTTGAACTTTACTAGCAATATCTGGTCTCATGATGGACATTACATAAAATGCTGTTGTTCCCATAGAATGGCCGATATATGTCAAATTGCTTTGTTTCAGATTTGTAATATATGATATCATTGCTGGTAAGTCGTATATACCTAATTCGTGAAAACTATTACAAAAAATATGTATATAAAATATATTATATAAATCTAAAATTTAAATAAAAATACATTATTTTGATTAAATATATAGGAATCCATCGAACAAAACCGATACTCTCCATGTTACCACAAACGTGTTATGTCTGCTAATAAAACCCTACAATAAGATGGAAGTAAAAATATAGAATCGAATAAGTATATACATACGAAAATTCCCAAAAGTTGGGATCAGCTGTTGACATATTCACGTGAGCTTTTGTATAAACGTTACCACGAAAATTACCAAGCCATACGTCATATCCACTATCAGCTAATTCAAAAGCTAATGTAAAACAAAATGAATACATTTTCAATAAGTAATAACAATTCTTCGACGAACAATAAAATTAATATTTTTTTATGAGCTATTAGATAAAATAATATTTAAATAAAATGTAATAATTTAATAATTTCATTGCTTTTAAGAACCGTTTAGTAAATGAAATACAAATTTGCAAATTATTAACAATAAGATTCGCGTAGAACTTTATAGCAAAATTACAAAAATTTCATTTCTATCAAAACACTTGTCGCGACGATGATTTAGAAACACACACAGTATAGTTAGAATATTAATAGTGGTTAAAATATTTATTCGATATATTATTACGTATAATACGGAAAAGTTAAATAATTAAGTAAAGATATAATAATTTAAAATTAAAATGCAAAATGTATACCAAGAGCATATTTTGGACCGTTGAGTACCCAATGAACGGAACTGCAAAGTATACCATGTTGTAACAGAACGGGGTGAGATTTAGGTTTCCCTGGAATTCGATGTAGTGTCAAAAGATAACCATCCTCCGTTGTTATGAAATGTGCCTCAGAAGGATAACCATGTCTTCGTATTATCTGTCCCTTAAAATATTAATAATGTTAGACAAAAATGTATTGTAAATAATTAATTGTGGTTCAAGCGTTTTCAATAAAAATGGTGATTGAATGAAACGATCTAATTTAATTTGCGTTTCTTGCAAAAAAAAAAAAAGAACTTCACTTCACAACAATTTTTAAATTATTTGTTGAAATATTAAGAATACACCCCATGTTTATTGCCGAAAAAAACACTGTTGTTAGCACTTTTGGCGAATATTTCAATTATACGAAAATTATAAGATGAAAATCACCGTCGAAATTACTGTTTGAATTATATTACCACGATGAAAAAGATTTATAGAGAATAATTAATTTGATAAAAATTAAAAATGCTCGGGGAAAAAAAAAAGACATTAAATACTAACAGTGTTGAGATCGATGTTCGGATTATATTTTCCATTACTTCCATAACGACCGATTGATAATATATCATTAACTACGTTATAGATTGGTAATTCACTTGTAATGGATGTAGTCAAATTAATAAAACCGTAAAAAATGACAAGATGTAAAAAGATTGTTTTCATTTTTACTACAATATCTATTTGAATGTTTTTTAATTTGTATTTTTTCTAACACATAAAAATTTTACCAAAAGATCAAAAAATCAAAAACATTTCATACATTTGTTATACGACTAGTATTTAACGCGACAATTGTTCAACTCTACCATTTATACCGAACCAGAACGTTTATAAATGCGCTATCATGATACTTTGCTAAAACGATACATTTAATTGTGCGCCAGTCAACATGCATCACATAAATCATTAAATATCGGCATATATCTCCGATTCTCATCAAACTTCGGACACGTACAATAAAATATAATATTGACAAGAACAGAACAATGAACGTATACTGCTTACATTCCTTTATTTTATTCTAAAAATTTTTGTATCGTTTAATAAACGTGCTCTATCTCAATTCTTATAAATATCAGATCATATCTCTAATTTATAATTTTTACGCAAAGTATTGCAGACGTCAAATCATTTCATCAAGCTTTCACATATCTTGAAAAACCTTAAATATTTACAATGTTTGGATAAATATTGTTTTATTTAAATAAGTTTATTTTTATATTGCAAAAATTGATGATACTTTACACATTGCTGATATCGGGGTTTTTATTTTTTATTATCTCCCTAACTTTTAATTAAAGAAAATATTATGAAATAATATTATAAAGTAATATTAATAAGTGATAATAATGTATAAGTAGATATATCATTAGATAATTTTTTATATATATATATATATATATATTTCACTTTATATTATTCGGTCCTATTTACATATTCACAGCGATTTAATTGACGTTTATATAGGAAAAAATGCATATTTCTCAAATAATATATGTATACTTAATGATGCATGGAAACTTCATTACTGTCAACACAAAGATTGCATAAGTACAAATTATAAACAAAAAATTTTTGTTGATAAAACGAAAACGAATAATTCCAAGGTGGCTCTTCGATAGGTAAGATTTATTACGCTTATAAAATATTTTTATTTCCAAAGTACAAAATTGACCTATTTATTCATTTTTATTAGTTGATCATTAATTCTATGTGATCATTGTTTTATATTATATTATATGATAAAAAAATAAAAAGGAAATAAAAGAATTATGAACAATTTATAATAAACGTTATGACAAAATTGTATCAGAAAAAATATTTTATAAAAATAACACAGATATATATTATATATATGAAGATATTGAAGAAAACATGAAAATTTATATGCATCTGTAATTGTCAAGAATACTTTTTTTTTTTTTAATTATCAATATGCTTTACTCTCCTTTCATTGTATGTAGTATTCTATTATAAACTAATTTCCGTGCATCTATAGCCCACAGGAAGTCGAGGTGATTAAACTTTTCAAATGGTATTTTGTACTTATCAACGACGTTTCTTAATTCCTTTGATAAATTAAGAACATCCTAAAAACGTTTAAATTTTTATGTAGGAACAATAAATAAATAAAAAAGTTAATGTGATTGAATATTACATACCTTAACATTAACTAACCAATCGTTTGGAGCATAATATAATGCCATAGGTACTGTAATTGTAGAAATATTATATTCAGGTGGTGTAATATTATTATATATTTGTAAATTCCTTTTCGCGCCATAATCAAATTGCCGAAAATTAGCGGATTTAACTCCTTGCAATAAATGTATAAATGTTTTAGTTGAAGTTCCAGCTGGCACATGAGACAAAATTACCGGTAGTAACGTCTAAATATGAACAAAATATATTTAATATCATCAGAATATTTTTAAATAATAAATAATAAAAATAACTAACATTATTCATTTGTGCTTTGTCGAATCCAGTAATTAAAAATAATACGTTACTGCATACTGTAGCTCCCAGTGAACTCAAATCGCAACTATATTTAACGAAAAATTTTAATATAGAACTTTGTGGAAAAAACTCATTTTGTCCAAGCAAATGTGCGAGAAACTAGAAAATAAAAAGAAGAAAACATTCGTAAAATATATATATATGTAAATCTCTTAATAAATTATATGGATATTAAAAAGTTAGTAAAGATTACCTGTAAATTATTAGAAAAAGGTGCAAGAAATCGTGCAGGACTTTTCATATGACCGAAATAAATAGCTGGTGCAAGATTAAACATCATTTGAACCCTGCTAGTAATATCAACTCTCAAGGTGGACATTACATAAAATGCTGTTGTTCCCATAGAATGACCAATGTAAGTCAAATTGCTTTTTTTCAGATTGGTAATATACGATATCATCGCTGGTAAATCATATATACCCATTTCGTGAAAACTAATATGAAAAATATTATAAAAAAAAATATATATATATAACTGAAAAATATATTTATTTTATAAAAATACCTAAAATCCCAAAATTTAGCATCATTCGTTGAGAAATTTTTATGTGCTCTTGAATACGTATTACCGCGAAAATTTCCAAGCCATACGTCATATCCATCGTCGGCTAATAAATAAGCTAAATGATAAATAAAATAATTATTCGAAAAAACGTAACACGAATTTTTAATAATCTTAAAAGGACATCGTAACTAAATGTTTATAATAATTTAAAAAACAATATATATATGTATAATTGTGTATACCAAGAGCCTTCTTCGGACCGGAAATCACCCAATCCGCGGAACTTGCTAATAAACCATGTTGCAATAATACGGGGTGTGAATTTGGTTTCCCTGGAATTCTATGAAGCGTCAAAAGATAATCATCTTCGGTTATAACAATATGTACTTCAGAAGGATAACCATACTTCGCTATCAATTGATACTGAAATAATTATCAAAAAATGTAGACCAAAAATATAATCTTATATTATAACGATATTATTCTACAATTTCGTAACTTTCAAAGAATAGTGTTTTTCTGTTTTTTTTTTTTAAAGAAACAGGTCAACTTAATAGTTTAAAATTAAAATCTAATAGGATACAAAGAAACTCTAGATATTATAATTATTAGTCATAACAAATGTATGAATCACAACATATTTTTATTTTAACTCACTATAAAATGATAAAATTTACTTCCATATAAATTATTTATGAATCATTTATCATTTGCGCTTACTCGCAAAGCGTAAGAATTGCATTTATTATGAATAAGAAATTGTATATGTTAATAGGAATAATAATTAAAAAATATAAGAATCACTCGTTGTTCCTAAAATTTATTAATGTCAATACTTACCGTATTAAGATCGATATCCGGATTATTTTTTCCATTAAAATGGAAATCAAAGTAATTACTGTATTCAAATTTGTCTAATTTTCTATTGTTTACAGGAGTATCCTCCAAAGATGCGACGAAATTAATAAGAATGTAGATGGTCCAGAAATATATGAAAATGATCCTCATCTTGATAAAGATATTGTAACACATTGAACACGAAATTAAACGAAAACTAGAATTTTATTTCAACAAAATAATATTGAATAATATCAAAGGCGTTTGTTTTTCATTTATTTTCATTATACAAATCAGTAAACACAAAATTTAAAATCTTCGACCTATGCTCTATTGAAATTGATACGACTTTAATGACTTCAACGACAAACGTATTACTGTCGTATTAATCTCAAACAAGAACGTTTTATAAATGTGCAGTCATATTTACTAACCTAACAAAAAAATAAATATTCCTTTATGATAATCGTTATCACTTATTGTCGGATATGATATAATTTTAAAAGCAAAATAATTTCCGTTACAATTAATTAAAAATAATATATTTCATCGTTAAAAATTGTATACAATAATCTGTTAATCGAAAGACATTTGTTTATAGTAAAATTTATAAACATCTGTTACAGTAAGACTTTCGTAATAATCAATATGTCATATATCTATTTCAATATGAAAAATGGACCATGAATTATGTGTATTTATAATTTATAGTATTTAATTTATCCTAAATCTCCGATTATAAGATATTTTTGAAACGCCTTATTCTCCGTGCAATTAGTATTAAATAAGCAAATTAAGAAATTACGTAATTTCCCAACAAAATAAAATTTCTTACGTTATATAACGACATTTCTTTTTATCGCATCACGTATCATTTTGTTGTTACCTTTAAAAATAACTCAATAGTCTGTGTAGTTGCCCACTTGATACCACAAATTTGTGGGGGCCTCTTTGGCATTAGCCTCTTCTTTCTTCATGCCCTAAACGCTGCTGTGAGGCTTTTTTTAACATTTACTCRAATRCCTCARCAGATATTKGAWYTAATCGATGAACCTATTATTAACACTTTGCATTTAAAAAATTAAATAATATCAAACACAAGCAGAAACTTTGTAATACATCTTATGGTCTATCTTTTTTACTCGACGACTTTTATCTTTATTCTACTTTGTATTTACTATACATATATAAAAAATGAAGTATTTTTAATAGGAATTAATAAAGAGCAAAGTGTTAATATACTTAATATTAAGTAAGTATCCAACGTATTCAGCTATCTTCACTTTTTCGACAAAAAATTAATTTTTAAGAAAACGCAAAGACTTTTGAATCGTTCGATACTAATTTATATCTCGCGGTACAGAGTATCAGCAATATATGGAAAAAATAAAAGAAATATTTAAATGATAAATGAATCTAAGGGGGTTGCTGAAACTTTGTATAATATTCGGAGAAGAAATTTTCCACTCCTGAGTGGAAATTACAATCACGCGACTTCTCCGGTCTTTACCTACTTACAAATTAAATAAACATTCACACCTAAGTATGCTACCTGCTTGTCTATTACCCATATTTAAAAAGATCAAACATACCTGCATACCCACCCACTCACTCTACGATTCTCACACATACCACCAGGGTGCAAAA